AGGAAAAAAACAACCGGGTCGTATTTAAAAGGAAAGGAAAACATACACAGGTCGTACTTAAAGGTTTAAAGGAGAAACATACACAGGTCGTACTTAAAGGTAAAGGAGAAACATACACAGGTCGTACTTAAAGGTAAAGGAGATACATACACAGGTCGTAACTGAAGGTGAAGGTGATACATACACAGGTCGTAACTGAAGGTGAAGGAGATACATACACAGGTCGTACTTGAAGGTAAAGGAGAAACATACACAGGTCGTACTTAAAGGTAAAGGAGAAACATACACAGGTCGTACTTAAAGGTAAAGGAGAAACATACACAGGTCGTACTTAAAGGTAAAGGAGATACATACACAGGTCGTACTTAAAGGTAAAGGAGATACATACACAGGTCGTACTTAAAGGTAAAGGAGATACATACACAGGTCGTACTTAAAGGTAAAGGAGATACATACACAGGTCGTACTTAAAGGTAAAGGAGATACATACACAGGTCGTAACTGAAGGTGAAGGAGATACATACACAGGTCGTACTTAAAGGTAAAGGAGATACATACACAGGTCGTAACTGAAGGTGAAGGTGATACATACACAGGTCGTACTTAAAGGTAAAGGAGATACATACACAGGTCGTAACTGAAGGTGAAGGTGATACATACACAGGTCGTAACTGAAGGTGAAGGAGATACATACACAGGTCGTACTTAAAGGTAAAGGAGATACATACACAGGTCGTAACTGAAGGTGAAGGAGATACATACACAGGTCGTACTTGAAGGTAAAAGAGATACATACACAGGTCGTACTTGAAGGTAAAGGAGATACATACACAGGTCGTAACTGAAGGTAAAGGAGAAACATACACAGGTCGTACTTGAAGGTAAAGGAGAAACATACACAGGTCGTTACTGAAGGTGAAGGAGAAACATACACAGGTCGTACTTAAAGGTAAAGGAGAAACATACACAGGTCGTAACTGAAGGTGAAGGAGAAACATACACAGGTCGTTACTGAAGGTGAAGGAGATACATACACAGGTCGTACTTGAAGGTGAAGGTGGTCCTTGCAGTTCCCTGGAGAACCAAGGACATCTTGTGTTGCAGAGAAACGAAGTGTGGTGGAGTGTTGTGGTGGTACAGGTCGTACACCCTGGACGTAGGTGCCTCGTAGGTGCCTCCCCCTGCCTCGTTCACCACCAGGTAGGTGCTGTCCTCTTCCCCTTCCAGGTGAAGTGCCTCGACACTCACCTTGACGTGGCTTCCCCTGGGCGCCTGGCCAAACACAACACAAAACTGTATTCATGTGGAAGAGGAAGCGCTAGAACCGTAGGGGAGAGGGGGAGAAGGTGTAAGTGATCAGGTGGGATCCGAAGGAGGGTACCTCCAAGTCCTTGAATCAAGAACCCTTCACCAGCATCACGGCGCTGTGCCTTCATGGTTGAATAATATTCACTGTTACTCACCTTGTTTCTCCTTTACTCATGTAGACTCACCATTACTCACCTGACTCCTCCATTATTCACCTGACTCCTCCATTACTCACCTGACTCCTCCATTACTCACCTGACTACTTCATTACTCATGTAGACTCACCATTACTCACCTGACTCCTCCATTACTCACCTTACTCCTCCATTACTCACCTGAATCCTCCATTACTCACCTGACTCCTCCATTATTCACCTGACTCCTCCATTACTCACCTGATCCTCCATTATTCACCTGACTCCTCCATTACTCACCTGACTCCTCCATTATTCACCTGACTCCTCCATTACTCGCCTGACTAATCCATTATTCACCTGACTCCTCATTACTCACCTGACTCCTCCATTACTCACTAGACACCTCCATTACTCACCTAACTCCTCTATCACTCACCTGACTCCTCTATTACTCACCTTACTCCTCCATTACTCACCTAACTCCTCCATTACTCACCTGACTCCTCTATTACTCACCTTACTTCCCCATTACTCATGTAGACTCACCATTACTCACCTGGATCCACCATTCACATTGGAGCACCTTGGATAAGCTAGGACCCACACTGACCCATCCTCGTGGGTCTGAACGATTCACTATAAGAATCTGAAATATAATAATTAGTATATACATTCTGTTAATATATACAATATATATAAACATATATATATATATATATACACTGTGAATATATACAGTACAGTGACCTCTTTTATGAAGCTCTGCTACACGGTCCATTTTTTTTTTTTTTTGTATATGCTATTTTTTTGAGGGGGGGGAGGAGCACTAAACATGGGAGAGTCTGTAGGAGAAGTTGAGGGGTCCGTCCATTGGAGCAGTCAGCCAGCGGAAGGCCTCAGTCAGATGGTCAAAAGCTCCAGTAGTGGGTCATCAAATGACTTACACCCGCATCGAGAGGCCTATGTTCTGTCTCCTCACCAAATTTACCCAACCTAACCTAACCAGAGAGAGAGAGAGAGAGAGAGAGAGAGAGAGAGGGGGGGGGGGGGGAGAAGTCTTGTTAAACAATGACTGTGGATATTATAAGATCCAATTGCCAGTGACTCTGGTCGTTGTAGTTAATGGATTGCAAGATGACCAGTGACAGCAATAATGAACGTAAAATTACTGACAGAATGTTACATAAATGGACACAGATGTTACAGTCCTGGAGGTGGGAAGTACAGTGCCTGCACTCTGAAGGATGGGTGAGGATGTTACAGTGTTGGAGGTGGGGAGTACAGTGCCTGTACTCTGAAGGATGGGTGAGGATGTTACAGTTCTGGAGGTGAGAAGTACAGTGCCTGCACTCTGAAGGATGGGTGAGGATGTTACAGTGTTGGAGGTGGGGAGTACAGTGCCTGTACTCTGAAGGATGGGTGAGGATGTTACAGTTCTGGAGGTGAGAAGTACAGTGCCTGCACTCTGAAGGATGGGTGAGGATGTTACAGTGTTGGAGGTGGGGAGTACAGTGCCTGTACTCTGAAGGATGGGTGAGGATGTTACATTTTCTGAGGTGGGAAGTACAATGCCTGCACTCTGAAGGATGGGTGGAGGATGTTACAGTGTTGGAGGTGGGGAGTACAGTGCCTGGTACTCTGAAGGATGGGTGAGGATGTTACAGTTCTGGAGGTGAGAAGTACAGTGCCTGCACTCTGAAGGATGGGTGAGGATGTTACAGTTCTGGAGGTGGGGAGTACAGTGCCTGCACTCTGAAGGATGGGTGAGGATGTTACAGTTCTGGAGGTGAGAAGTACAGTGCCTGCACTCTGAAGGATGGGTGAGGATGTTACAGTTCTGGAGGTGGAAGTACAGTGCCTGCACTCTGAAGGATGGGTGAGGATTTTTACAGTTTGGAGGTGGGAAGTACAGTGCCTGTACTCTGAAGGATGGGTGAGGATGTTACAGTTCTGGAGGTGGGAAGTACAGTGCCTGCACTCTGAAGGATGGGTGAGGATGTTACAGTGTTGGAGGTGGGGAGTACAGTGCCTGCACTCTGAAGGATGGGTGAGGATGTTACAGTTCTGGAGGTGGGAAGTACAGTGCCTGTACTCTGAAGGATGGGTGAGGATGTTACAGTCCTGGAGGTGGGAAGTACAGTGCCTGCACTCTGAAGGATGGGTGAGGATGTTACAGTTCTGGAGGTGGGAAGTACAGTGCCTGTACTCTGAAGGATGGGTGAGGATGTTACAGTTCTGGAGGTGGGAAGTACAGTGCCTGCACTCTGAAGGATGGGTGAGGATGTTACAGTTCTGGAGGTGGGAAGTACAGTGCCTGCACTCTGAAGGATGGGTGAGGATGTTACAGTCCTGGAGGTGGGAAGTACAGTGCCTGTACTCTGAAGGATGGGTGAGGATGTTACAGTTCTGGAGGTGGGAAGTACAGTGCCTGCACTCTGAAGGATGGGTGAGGATGTTACAGTCCTGGAGGTGGGAAGTACAGTGAATGCACTCTGAAGAATGGTTGAGGATGTTACAGTCCTGGAGGTGGGAAGTACAGTGAATGCACTCTGAAGAATGGTTGAGGATGTTACAGTCCTGGAGGTGGGAAGTACAGTGAATGCACTCTGAAGAATGGTTGAGGATGTTACAGTCCTGGAGGTGGGAAGTACAGTGCCTGCACTCTGAAGGATGGGTGAGGATGTTACAGTCCTGGAGGTGGGAAGTACAGTGCCTGCACTCTGAAGGATGGGTGAGGATATTACAGTCCTGGAGGTGGGAAGTACAGTGCCTGCACTCTGAAGGATGGGGTGAGGATTTTTACAGTCCCGGAGGTGGGAAGTACAGTGCCTGCACTCTGAAGGATGGGTGAGGATGTTACAGTCCCGGAGGTGGGAAGTACAATGCCTGCACTCTGAAGGATGGGTGAGGATGTTACAGTCCTGAGGTGGGAAGTACAGTGCCTGCACTCTGAAGGATGGGTGAGGATGTTTACAGTCTGAAGGTGGGAATTTACAGTGAATGCACTCTGAAGAATGGTTGAGGATGTTACAGTCCTGGAGGTGGGAAGTACAATGCCTGCACTCTGAAGGATGGGTGAGGATGTTACAGTCCTGGAGGTGGGAAGTACAGTGCCTGCACTATGAAGGATGGGTGAGGATGTTACAGTCCTGGAGGTGGGAAGTACAGTGCCTGCACTCTGAAGGATGGGTGAGGATGTTACAGCCCTGGAGGTGGGAAGTACAGTGCCTACACTCTGAAGGATGGGTGAGGATGTTACAGTCCTGGAGGTGGGAAGTACAATGTCTGCACTCTGAAGGATGGGTGAGGATGTTACAGTCCTGGAGGTGGGAAGTACAGTGCCTGCACTCTGAAGGATGGATGAGGATGTTACAGTCCTGGAGGTGGGAAGTACAATGCCTGCACTCTGAAGGATGGGTGAGGATGTTACAGTCCTGGAGGTGGGAAGTACAGTGCCTGCACTCTGAAGGATGGGTGAGGATGTTACAGTCCTGGAGGTGGGAAGTACAGTGCCTGCACTCTGAAGGATGGGTGAGGATGTTACAGTCCCGGAGGTGGGAAGTACAATGCCTGCACTCTGAAGGATGGGTGAGGATGTTACAGTCCTGGAGGTGGGAAGTACAGTGCCTGCACTCTGAAGGATGGGTGAGGATGTTACAGTCCTGGAGGTGGGAAGTACAGTGCCCGTACTCTGAAGGATGGGTGAGGATGTTACAGTTCTGGAGGTGGGAAGTACAGTGCCTGCACTCTGAAGGATGGGTGAGGATGTTACAGTCCTGGAGGTTGGGAAGTACAGTGCCTGCACTCTGAAGGATGGGTGAGGATGTTACAGTCCTGAGGTTTGGGAAGTACAGTGCCCGTACTCTGAAGGATGGGTGAGGATGTTACAGTTCTGGAGGTGGGAAGTACAGTGCCTGCACTCTGAAGGATGGTTGAGGATGTTACAGTCCTGGAGGTGGGAAAGTACAGTGCCTGCACTCTGAAGGATGGGTGAGGATGTTACAGTCCTGGAGGTGGGAAGTACAGTGCCTGCACTCTGAAGGATGGGTGAGGATGTTACAGTCCTGGAGGTGGGAAGTACAGTGCCTGCACTCTGAAGGATGGGTGAGGATGTTACAGTCCTGGAGGTGGGAAGTACAGTGCCTGCACTCTGAAGGATGGGTGAGGATGTTACAGTCCCGGAGGTGGGAAGTACAATGCCTGCACTCTGAAGGATGGGTGAGGATGTTACAGTCCTGGAGGTGGGAAGTACAGTGCCTGCACTCTGAAGGATGGGTGAGGATGTTACAGTGGTGACCTTGTGGCAGGGAGACTCCTGCAAGGTGAAGGAGATCTGGTAGGCAGCGTTCTCCAAGTCGAAGAACGAGGTCTGTTCTTTGTACGACAGGTGGTGCATGGAGGCTGTGTTAGGTAGCACCACCTTCACCTGCTGCTGTTGCTGACCCCTTGCACCCCGCAACACCTTAGCACCTACACCTCCACAGTACCTGCAACACATCTCCCTAATTACCAGCACATCTCAATTCTGTGTTGTGCTCGTAATTAGATCACAGTAAACAGTTAACATCACAATATACAAAACAATCACTGTCAAAAAATAGTGAAATTCCAAGTGATCTTGTGACTTCTTACATTATCAAGTTGAACTATAGCTCTTGGGTCTTTGTAACATCACTTACCTGCGACACTTGCCATTGGGCTGGCAGAGTTTTAGAGTGCAGGTCCATGGATGGGCGGTGTGGGCGCCGCCCTTGCTGTCCACCTTTACCACCACCTTGGCAGGCGCCTCCTGAGGGTGCCAGACACAAGGTGTGGCACTGCCTTAGTGAGCCACTCATCATCC